TTCTGAGCAGACCAAGCATGCCTGTGGAAGCTGTATGCCCAAATGTCCATTTAAGCAAACATAGCCTTTTGGCAGTGCAGATACCCACCAGAAAAAAGGGCAGTGAGTGGAATTTATAGCAAACCATTGAAGCTGTTGGCATTAAGTTACACAATTTGTTTAACTGATATGATAATATTCATATGACCTAATTGCAAGATAAACAAATATTTAGGAAATACACAGTTCTTAAGATGGATAGTGAGCTATGAACTGAAAATTATTATTGTAATTTAAAAGCACCGTCTGTGTTCATCACACTAATTCATTTTCTTCCATCATCCTAATTCAGAAAAAATGGAAACAACATGACATTTTCAGTGTGCAAAATGATCTGCTTATAAGCAGAGCAAACAGCAGCCTAGGAGAGTGCAGTAGAAATGATTCAATGAATTATACCAGATAACATCTGAGAGAACCATGATATGCTTTCTGAAAATATAGAAACAAGATGGAATTCAAGAAATAAATTTTTCAGTGTGAACTGGTCTGCTAGCTGTACTTGAAAGTTCAAAAAAGAATAAAGTCTAAGCAATGGTACCTCACCAAAAAGTTCTCCAACACTGCGGTAAACACAGACAAAAGATTTTGGCATTTTATTCTTTGTTGTCATATCAGAAGCAGTTGTTCAGTCTATGCAAATACACTGCTCTTCAAAATTTGGGACTGGGATTCGTCTCACCTAGCTTTAGACATTTGCAGTCTCGACAGCTATGTCTGAGCCCAGCACCTTTGGCTTGCTTTGTACTCAAAGGAGAGCAATAGGTAATCTAGAGTGCAATTCAGCTGTCCTATTTAGAAGGCCTAATTTTAGGTTAAGATGAATCACATTCCAGAAGTGTCTATGTCTCTCCATCAACTAGAAAGAGAGCTCAGATATGAAGTTTCGCATCTTATTTTTTCTCAGTGAACACCGCTTTAGAAACTCTGAATCTTAATGCTTGCAGACTTGATTTTATACTGTGTAAAAAGGGAGAAAAACAAAGTTAAAAAAAAAAAAGAAATCTTCTGGAGGCTAAAACAACTTGAGACAGCTGAAGGTAATATTAAAACGTCTGGAGCAAAGGTAAGCTAGCATTTAGTGTCACATTTACAGAAAAGGGAATTCTACCTGAAGAGTCCTTGGAGGGGTTTGATTTGTGTTTAAGACTGCCCTGTCATCAGCGAAGCTTCTCCCACGGCCATGCCATCGACCTCTGAGCTACTAGGACTACCAGGAGCAATTCCAGCTTCTTTCTGCATCAACATTAGTGACAGGCATGTTTTGGATGAGGCATCAGCTGAATGGCACAAAAAAGGGCATAAACAATGAAAGCCCTTCAGGAGCTTGCTTTACAAATTTTCCATAAATCTTTTTTAAATCATCAGTCTAATTCAATCAGCCCAATTTTTTCACCTCAAGTTCCTCCTACCTTAAACACAAATAAATAAGAGGAGAACTGGGTCTGTTTCATTAAAGATTTTTCATGGATGAGTTTTGCATTGTATATGGTAAAAACCCCTGCCTTTTTCCATTCTTCAAATAGACACAACAGAAGAAATGTCTCAAGGCAAAAAAAGGGCTGACCACACTCCTATGGCTCCTGCATACTGTAGCCACCTCTGTGCATGGAAGGTACAGATGACAGATGATGCTCCATAGCTGGGACTGAGGGAGGATTAAGCACAGCAGAAATACTGAGCATAGGGCCTCCTGTGGCCAAAATCTGTTGAAATGGAAGTGTAATAGATCCTAATAAAGTCGTTTTCTGGATAGGAATCAAGCTAAAGAACAGATTACTGTCCATAAGAAGAAACTAAAATCCCAGAAATTGCATAATTAAGACTATTCTAAGGCTACAAGTAAGGCACACTAGTGTCCTGTTGCTGGGGGAGATGTTTCTGTGTGATAGCTCTGCTCCTGTCTTTACCAGACTATGTCCTTTATATGAGAAATAGGCCAATATGATTGAATTTTACAAACCAAGGCATGTATTTGCACTGGCTGTCAGCATTGTGGTTCTGGGTTTTCTGCCTGTAGCTGTTGTGAAAACTGGATACTGCAGCCCCGCCAGAGCCAGGGGAACCAAGTCTCTTGCAGTAATTAGTCCAGCCCAACTAACAGCAAAAAACATTTTCTCAGCAGGGAAAAGGTTGTCCTTGTGCTTTTCATTCTTTTTCAGCCAAAACATGTAAAACATAGTTCTTCTGATATATAAAGTACAACTATCAGTGACAAATGTCATTCCCCTTATCTTCTTCCCATCTTACATTCTACATGGGCTATTCTATTTTACGACAATTAAAAGGTCCTGTTATTCTTTGAATTGCTGTAAAACTGAACAGTCTCCGTGTGTTCAGAGCAGCTTGCAATTAGCATACCTGATCTTAGAAAATTCAGTCTATTAAAAATATGGACATATTAAAGCACAGCATATGGAAATCTGCATATGTTCATCTCACACAGTGGGCTTCAAATGCCAGAGTCATAAAGGCTCCTAGACATCTCATAAAAGAGCTTATATATGTCACCACTCAGATGTAGAACTTCAGGGTATTTTCATACTTTCTTGGAAAATATTATATTACTTCACACTTACCTTTTATGATGTTTTCATTTGAAAAAGATGAAGAAAATATGAAGATATTTTTTAAAAAGCTAAGGTTTGCTATTATATAATCACTCTATTGGATTTTGTAATTTTCCTTATAGCCACAGCACCAATAAAACCATGAAGATAAGAATATGAAAATTTTAATGCAAACTAAGATGTATTTTGCCATGCAAATTGTCTCATTTTGTGAAATTTCCTTCAAACCAAGGGCCTTCTGGAGAGCCATTTCTGCTTAAATGCATTTTTATTCTATCCTATAAAAAGTGCAAGAAGTAGTGCTTTCATAGGAATACAAAGTAGAGATTAAGACTGGGTTTATATCTTTTTCAAAAAAGGAAGTCCTGTAGTGGACCACAGAGTTTTCCTCTTCTTATAACTGCCAAGGCAAAGACAGGTCTCTGTTTTATCCAGATTCTCATTTAAACAAATACGCTGCAGTAGCTGAGGGCTGGTTTCCATTTTAATAACAAATATTCTGTCAATAACAACCTTGTACATGAACAGGAGTTTTTCGATTTATATTAATCAAAGTAATTGAATCACAAAATTTACTGCTGACAGTAGGACATTGTCCTGACATTGTCCTGACACAGGACAATGGATTCTAGCAGATCTGAAGTGTTTTTGGAAATGGTAGTACTGAAGTAAAAAAAAAATTAATTATTCATTTTGCTGCGTACAAGACTTAAAAGCAATATTTGGTAACAGAACAAATGCAGCTCAGCCTCTTCACTTGTCTATCTGAGGGATGAATTTGGCCCAAAGGATGGGACTTGGTTCACACCTCTTCTGTAAGAGCAGGTGTTCATAGGTAGGGAAGGTGGCTGAACACTGTAGCCAGTAGAGATTTAGGATAGCCCAAGCAAGTACAAAACATGAGTTAGGAAAGATCTGATCCTTTCTGCATAGAGCTGCTGAGGCCAGGAGGGTATTGCAGGCCATTGCAAACATCTTGAAATCCATGTTTAGACAGTTTCTAAACCAAAAGAGTAAGTGATGCTTGACTAAGCAGATGCACTTACCCACTTTAGGACAGGGTGAGTCACCCTCTAGATTCCTTTTGAGGCTTTGAGCAGTTCCCCATTGACTATAGGATTATAGTGGGATCTTAAAGATTTAGCATATAGGAACATACATACATTGAAGATGCCTAGATGGATGCATCTGAAGGCAGTTAAATGACTCCAGAAATGCACCTATTTTTCCTCTAAATATAGAGAAAGCTTACCACATTGGCTTAGACTGGATACCTGATACAGAGACACCAATATGGTGAGTTGAACCACACACTCTTAGCTTGCCTTATACTTCCCAGTTTAACATAACTGCCCTTTGTATCAGGCACTCTTCATGTAGAAATGAGAGAAGACAACATTGTTATGCTATTCTACATCAAAAATATAATGCAAATATTGCCTCCTAACAGGTACCAGAACAAGCTTGGTTAAAAAAATCCAGAAGCTGGTTCAACCCTCATGTCTGTGCTGGTACCAGGAGTCTGAATCTTTGATTTAGAGACAAAACTGGCAAAAAAATGTATCTAAATGCCATTAATATATTTGTTAGCTGCAAGTTGAGTTTCTAGATGTTATTCCATAATAATCATGGTTTCATTGTGTAAAAATATGTGTGTAATCAAATTTTCTTTTAATCATAATATATCTATTGCCAGACTTTTTGTTATTACGAAATACTTCCAAAAGAGTAGTCTGCTTTGTGTGATTTTCACCACTGAAAATAATCAGGTAAACCTGTAAGATCTGTTATTTGACATCTTGACTTTAGTTACTCCCCACATACTGCATTCGGTCTCTCATAGACCTGACCAACTAAGACTGTTTTTATCTAGATGTTGAAAACTTGATGGAGTGCTGAAGAAGGTCTGTTTATTCAGAAGGTTTGGCAGCTGAAATTATTTAGACCTCAATGACTCTGCAATCTGCTGTTTGCAAACGAGAAGTCTGAGTGGCAACACATATTCTCCATACCCCACGTATCTCGGTAAAATCAGTTTTTCTTCACAATCTTCAGCAATACTAATCTGATGCTTCAGCTGCGCTCTTCCCATGTCATAAATATTGTGACAGCATCCTTTAGCGTATCTCAATCTCAAATCTCACTCAATTTCATCTGTCATTTACAGGCATGCTTATAATGGTTCATTTGCTTATAATGGGTAGATTCTATGCTTTCAGTAACAGGAGTAATTAGAGAATACCAATATGGCCAGAAAGCAGAGAGGAGACAAAGAAGGAACATGAAAGACGGGAGGAAAGTAAATCATAGAAAGAGAGCTATGGAGATCACTTTACCCTTTCTTAGAAAAATGAAGTCGGGACAAAAGTGACAAAACTGAGAGGTAGAAAATTTAAAATTAGAACTGTTTTTTCTTTCAGGTTTCAATTACCAAAAGATGCTCTTAAATATGATTTTCCATGTTATTTCTCTGTGTGTCTGGTCCTCAATGCAGAGGTGGTTTCCAATCCTTTTGAAAAGTCAATTGCATCCTTAGGCACCTTTTGCAAAAGATAATAAAAAGAATGCATTAGTTTGGCTTAGATATCCACATGTTTAGTAAAATATTATGTGTAGTTCACAAAAAGAATCTGAATAATAACTAAGGAGATATTTCATCAGCAAACAGGAGAAAAAGCTGTAAGAACATCTTTACCAGTGTCTAGTGCTGACTGATGTAAGAGATGGTCTATAGTACTGGATAAGCAATACTCTGTTTTTGTTTCTTATTCCTGTTCACTGGCAGAACTGCCAGTGGTATGACAAAGAAAAGCAAGAAAAACCCACTTAGAAATGATTCTCTGGAGTCTTCAGTCAACCACTTCACTGAGGAATAAGTAATCTGAGAGTAAAAAGCATTCCTACTCCTTGCAGCATTACTGCAACTACTAATAGAGTTATATGTCCTTGCTATCTATTTTCCAGTACGGGGTTGTTGATTTTTCTGGGCAGTTGCAGCATGTTTTGAAATTTAAAAAAAAAAAAAAATGTTTTATTGACTGCTTGCTGAAAGTGTAGCAGAAGGCTAGATTTTGTGCTCACTTCTATAAGGAAGTAAGTAAACACAAAGTACTCCTCCCCTGTATTTTCTGCAACAGCAATCAAGTTCCTGGGCAATGAAACACAAAAATTTTCAAGGTTTCCTACTACTTACCCATTCTTACACCAGGAAAGAGGGTGCCATATGGGACAGATAGAGCACTGGATCCATGCTTTGACTACTCACCCTAAGAAATGAACTATCAAAACCTAGATTTATTTGCTGTGCACTATATTTATTCCCTCTGCTTTCTGTAACAAGGAGGAATTATGATTCCATGCATCAAGGGGAATGGTAGTAGCTCTGGCACCATAGATTTGGTGTGTTGCCCCTACTCCGTGCTATGCCTGAAGTCTGGTTCTAGCTCATTGGGATGGGTTTGCAATGTCTCCATCTTCTGCCCAGTTTCAGGAGCCGTACTTAAGCAATAACAATTTTAAAAAGAAACAATTTATCTAAATAAATTAAGGGCTAATTATCGTACATATGAATTCGTGAAGCTGGGTGTCATGTGCTGTCAGTAACTTTTTACCTTGATTGGACAATGACGAGTTTTGGAATTATATCAATACTCCCAAGGGTAACAAAAAAACCCAAAACCAATCCAACCAAAAAAACCCCACTGCAGATATATTCAGGAAATTGTAACTGGGAGACTTTTGAAACTGGAATAAACGAAACTAAAGGAATTTACAAAACTCTTTAGAGGGGCAAGTTGACCTGCGCTACATAAATTTTAGACATATATTTATATCATCACATATAGATATTACATTCACATACAGATTTGTAGAGCAAATTACCTGTGAGTATAAAATGCTTTCCTATTTCCAGCATGATGATGGAACAGATAATGATAGATTCCCACTCCTGAAGTGGGAAGACAAAAAAGGGTGATGAAACTGAGCACACAGTATAAATATGTTATACTTGTAATTAATAAGCAATATAAAATATGGAGTCATACTTACTGTCACATTTTGAATGAAAACAATGTTGCTTCATAGCAAAGAAAATTCCAGCTTTAGATTTACTAAAAAGCATGAACATGTCCTAAGAAATTAAGCAAGAAATTAAAAAAAGTTTAAAAAAATTCCTTGACTTGTTTTCGTCTCCTTATTCTGTATTATTGAATAAGCCACAAATAAACATTAACCCTCTGCTAACACAGTTCTGACACAATGACTGCCATGTATTGGATGCATCATTCATACATATTACACAGGCTGGGACAACTGAGCACACAGTGTAACATGACCTAGAGGAAAAAATGTCTTTAGCAGTGATGCTAGGAAAGGCTTCTGCAAGCAAACTATGACTGTCAAAATTATTTACCTCATCACAATCGATATTTCTATACTTAGAAATCTGGATCAATTTAATTTGTGGATTTTATTAGCAAACCCATACAGAGAATTGTATATTTTGAATCACAACAAAAAGTTTAACACTGAAGACAGTAAACTGATCTTTAGGATACAAAAATATCTCAGTTCATCTGTAAATCTGAATTAAGTACATGGAACTAGTATCCTATGATCCTGAACTCATTTTTAATGAGTCAAACAGCAACAGTGCAGCTTCCCATAGTTACCATATTATTATGATGATTTCTTTTGCTATCTCTGAAGATGTGTTTCAGCTATATAAGCTACAAAAGAGACACAGTTCTGCTCCAGAATGCTTGTAACATCTAACACAAAAACATGGGAGAGGCATGTTCTCCTGGAATTAACAAAGGAGGAAAACAACTTGGCTTCTATTAAATCTCTTGTTGGGATGATACATTAATTCAGTGATCAAACCACTCCTGATCTCAGCCTGTGGGACCACGTGGGTCTCCATAGGAGTCTTCTGTCCTGCCATATAGGTCTGTGGGAAAAAAGAGGGAGCTGGTGAGGGAGCTTCCATGAAAGAACTTTGCAGAGACAGGAATAAAATAACTGACCACCCCTCCCTGTCCAGAGGGAAGCTCTCATGCCTGTGTTTCTTCTCAACATTTCTGAGTTCCCACCACCCACTGCTCTCTAAGAGTGGTAAAGCTGAGCAGCTGTGACCTACCGTGGATAGCCCCCCCCCAGCAGCACCATACTGTCCTGCCCTTGGCTCCACAGCACACTCCTGGCTTATCCATGCATTCTAGGGAAGGGAAATTTCCCCTAGCAGAGATTTGCTCAAACAACCATGATGGGAATGATCCCTCCAAAGGCCTGAAAGCGACATTTACTGGTGTTATTGTAAAGTGTACACAGGGGGTATGGAAAAAGGTACCAGAAACTACTGAGACAGATTGAAGGTTTTTGCTAGAAAATACAAAAGAACCTCTCAGTTTACACAAACAGCAAGAGCAGGCAAACACTACACCTTTTTGTAATATTAACATATGATTTTTTTGACTTTTACTTAAAGAGCAAAAATATTGCTTAAACCTCTGCACTTGCCCACCACATGCAGAGAAACATTCAATCTCTGGAGTGCCATTACCACCACTATTGCTTTTCACGGGAGCATGTGCCAGGGAGGAACACAGCACACAGCAGTGGTTTTTCAGCTTTCTGTTTTTCTAAATATGTGCAGAATGAGACATTCATTTCACAAGCCTATGCTGTGCCCTAATAAATACTGTGCAGTTTGAAGTTTTAGCACTTACGCAAACAACGGTTGGTTGAAGGAGATATTCACATGGGGCTTGATTATAGTGTTTTATCACTCAGCTGAACATCTAATGTTTAGCACAGAAGTTGGAGTGCTTCTTTTCATGTTATAACAAAGGTTGCCCTCTGATAGTAATTACAGCCTTCCTGTAAGGAAAGGCATTTTAGAACTGCCTGAAAAGTTCAGGATCTAGAGATGAAGCTTGGAGAAAGAGTTTACCATCACTTTGCATGTGGCAAGTAGTTTGGTGCCTGAGCTGTTGTCCAGAAAAATGACAGAGCTGCCTTGAAAACATTTCCTCAGAGTTGGAAACATTAAAAAAATCACTACCTGAGGAATAAGAAAGTCTCTGCGATTATTAAAAAAAAAAAAAATCACAACAAAGTTAATATTTCTGTAAAAAAGTACAAAATCAATGTGACGAATTATCATATGATCTTTTTTAGTTATGTAGAAAGGCATAGTGATGAGGAGACGTAGAGCAAAGCACATGCAGTAAAATATATTCAGAACAAAGCTGCCCATACGCAGCACTCACAGCTTTGCCCTGGAGCAATGAGCTAAATTTTCTAGTGACATTTCCGAATGCATCTTATTGGGGCTCTCATGAACTGCTAATGGTATATATCTGTGCCTTTTGTACTTAAAACATAATAATCAGTTTAATCAAAATAATTTTGAGAGTTTTACGCAGTTTAGGGCACTAAATTACAAATATGCATCTCTCTCTTCTGTCTTTGAGAACTCCAGGTCAATCATGTTTCTGATCTTTTGGATTTATCTTTTCCTTTTCTGAATTTCAAAACTATTTATCAGTGGCCAGCAACTTCATTAGTATCTTATTAATTCCAACAAATGGAACTGTTAGTTTTACCTTTGTAACTTACCAGGGATTCTCTTTTATTTTAAAGTAGCAGTGGTATTAACAGTTCAAAAGCCCAAACTTTATCGTCTTCTTCACAGTTGGAGAGGACTGTCGTGTATAATTTTATTTTCTGTGCTCTGATAAGTAAAATTTTTCCTGTTTCTCTTATCTGGGTAATATTTTTTTTTATTTTGTTGTGTGTCTCCTTTCCCTATAGAGATTAAATTACTAAATATGCTTTTCCAAACCCTATGTGCTGTGTAAGCTCCTCTCTATTGTCATGGTTTTGCATTCACCTTTTTCTGGATTGCAACTTTGTTTTCAAATTAAGGTGTCAGATTTTGACATATTTCTATGTGAATAAACTGGATTTTCATTTTCTGTGGTGCATAAGCAGTGACACTACGTCATGGTAGGTATTATTTGATCACAAAATTAGAACTTCCTACCCTTTTCAAAAACATGCCTTCTCTCATGCACAGCTTCCACATCTCCTGCTAAAGCTAGGAGATGTAGTTCTGCACTAAACTGATTAGCTTTTACGGCTTGATGCTGCATTTCATGCTTAAATAAGCATTACTTTATTAATATGTGTGGTCACAGAGATAGTTTGACACCCTTCAGGAAATTTAATGGTGGTTTTCTCTTTGCTGTGAAGGCTGAAATATTCACCCTTCTGTGGTTAGGTAGCAGATGAAAGGTATTTTCAAATGTTTTGAACCAGTCAAAAATGTACCACAAGAAACATCCAAAGGGGAGGAATGAAGGGAGGAGGAACATAGGCTGTCCTGTCAGAAACAGCCTAAGATGAAGCCTGTTGGGAAGCAAGGCATATTTTTCTTGTACATCCTTGAGCCAACAAGAGTTCTTGTATGATCCCTCATCCATGCTGATGGCACATGTTCCCAGCTGCAAGACTGGGAGGGAGGGAGAGAACAGCCAATACACTGGATTTGTGACATGTGGGAGAACAGGAATAAGCAGGAAAAGCAGAACCTTCCCACCAGATTTGCAGCATCCCATTTTCAGGTATTATCAATATTATCATTTGGGAACCTCTGACTTTCAGATATGGACACATGCATAGGCATATGCATGTCTGTATGTGTAAAGCTTTGGAGATACTGAGCTGAGCTGCTGTTTGCTGGGCAGTTTGGGGCTAGTGCAGAATTCCATCCCCATCACCACCACTGTGTCTTGCAGTCTCCAGATGTTGGGTAGCAAGTTTATGGGGAAGAAAATAACAGCAGCCTAAGGAAGAAGATTGGTGATTGCAGCTTTTAACACTATACACGTGTGGTCAAGCAAAGGTTTGTTTTTGCTGCACTATGGTGGGTGTTGTTCATGTCCCTGCACAGCCACTTGCCTTTAGATAATTGCACAGATTATTTCTAGGCTTCAGAAGCTCATTGCAGTGGTACCCTCTGTGCCTTGCTTGGTGTCTGGTCCTGATGGCTGACTTTGCCAGCATCTCACTGGCTGAAATGTTGGTGTTTGCTTGTTGGAGGTGTCCCATACCTACTCAGGTGACACACAGGCTGACACAGTACAGCCACAGCCTATTGTGCACTCTCGTCTCAATCACAGGTATTGTCCGAAGTAATGCTCTGCAGTACTGTGCATTATTACAAAGATTTTATTTTATATTATTCTATGTGCTTCCAAATAATCAATAACCATTCTTGATAATTTGGAAATACATTTGTATGTGTTCATACACATATATGTTTGTATACATGTTACGACCTGCCCCAGAAAAAGGGGAGGGGAGTAACCCAGGTTCTTATCAACAATTCCCTTGAGGTGGATTAGAGTGAAATGACACTGAATAATCGGTGTCTGAAAACCTATATTGATAAGGTTTATTTTAACGATTTTGTATCAACAGGCATGCTAGCATTTTGAGTGTTGTCATATAACAATGTGGCATAGAGATAACCTTTGGGGGGGGGGGAGAAAATGCATAGGGGAGAGAAAGACAGGATAAGAGTAAGGGAGAGTAAGGGAAAGAAAAGCTGAGAGTGGACAGATGTGTATAGTCACCGCCCGCGGGGTCCAGCGATGAAACTTAGTAGTTGCAGCTTCCGTGTCTGTCAGTTGAAGTGGTGGCCTTGATCTGCTGGGGGTGAAGGAGGGAAGCCCCCACACTCCAAGAAGTTATGAGTTACTATATCCATGGTCAGTGTCACGGGCCATGCCTTGAGCCTCCAACCTCTTCTTGGGCCTGCGCAGAGTATTTTTGTGTCTGGCCTGGTTCCCGCCTTTCCAGATTAGCAGAGGGAGGGAGGTTAGCAGAGGGAGGGAGGGGCCCGATTGCTCATCAGAGGTATTAACAGTCAAAAACCTTCGA